TTGCCATCACACCTAATTTTTCCCAGTGGCCTCTATGTTGTTGTTCTTTTTTCTCTACTCCATGTCTCGCTGAGTGTGGAAATGACAGGGTTATACGGCAGCTTCACCTCTCCCAACTTCCCCCAGCCTTACCCTGACAACCAGCACGTAGTGTGGAACATCACTGTCCCAGATGGCCACAGGGTCAAACTCTACTTTACCCACTTCAGCATGGAACTCTCAGACCAGTGTGAATATGACTACATCCAGGTACATGTAGGAGGAAGTCAGCATCCCATTATGTGCACTGACTTGGCATCAGTAGCTTGCTCACTAAAAGGCCTCTGACCTTGTCAAACCAGGTTTTGGCAGAGGGGAATGAAACCTTGCGGTTCTGCGGAGAGGAAGGGAAGAACCATGAAAGCACCCCGAGGAATACAATCATCCTGTCAGCCCGAAACCTCATGTCAGTGGTCTTTAGGAGTGACTACTCTAACGAGGGACGATTCACCGGCTTCCAAGCATTTTACACCTCAGAAGGTGATGCAAAATAGTGACATTTGTTGCCAGAAGGGAGACACATTTTTCTCAGCTGTAATTACACAGAACAAAGAGTAGTGAGGTTTCTACTGAAATGCAGTCTTCACAGGTATATGCAGCAATTTTTTAATTAATTCACATTAATAAAGTCAGACAGCAAACTACAAATACAATGTAATATTTAGAAACCAGCAGGAATAATGCCCCACATCAAGAAATTATTTTAGAAGGCTCTTAATTTTATATATAATGTAACTGTTATTTATTTATGGTGCTTTCATTACAGGCCCTCCTCTTTATCTTCTCTTGGGATTTAAATGACTCTGAAGTTAACAAAAAAATGTGTTTTCCCACAGTTAAACTGTTATTTTAATTGGCTGCAGTGGCACACCCGAGAGACTTTTGCAGAGCCTATGAAAAACCTGTTTTTGTGATCATTGTTTAGTTTCAGCTAATTGGGAGTCAGATTTAGCATGAACCAGATTCATTTAGTTTATGTGTAAGTTTTAACAGTAAATCAATGGTTTTCAAACTTTTACCCTTATGCCCCAGTCTGGAAGCCAAAAAGACCCCTCACTGATCACATCCCCACTTCTTCTTCTTCTTCTCTTTAAAAAAAATCAGACATCCACAATCAGAACCATCAGAAGAGCATCAGAGTGTGTTAACTTAGCTTCAGTCCAGTTTTCTCTTGGCTTCCACACTCCACTCCACATGTTTTGGCTCTATACTCCACCAATGGGACTCCACAGTTGGAGAACCACTGCAGTAAATGCACCTGAGTTAGAAAAGTGTATTTTGTTTCTATCTCTAACAAGTTTTGAAGGCCATGATGGCATATGAACTTCAGCGCGATGTAAATCAAGGAAATAATCATCAGATTGCTTGGTAGGCTAAAGGTTTTAGCAGATTTATACTCATTCAAAGGTGTGTTCATGGATGGGGAAGGGGATGCATATTTATTGATTTACTCTGTCACAGACATCAATGAGTGCCTGTCCAAGGTAGAAGGGGAGAGAGTGTGTGATCATTTTTGCCACAATTACATCGGTGGCTATTACTGCACGTGCAGACAAGGATACCTTCTCCATGACAACAGAAGATCCTGCACAGGTAAGAACGATACAGAGCGAGGCTCGAGAGGCATGTTTATCTGAGCTCAATCACTGTGGGTCAAAAGCTATTTAGCAGGGTGCAACGTTAAGAACTTGGTATACATTGTCTGACTATATTGATTTGTAATTAGGGTATTTCTGGAGCTAAACACGCTACTGCTCAGATCTTCTCAAATCTGAAACAGCAAACACTATTTACAGTGAAGAAAAGCAGGTGTCTGACCTCTTTGAGACATTAGCAACAACGCATTTAATTTGCCTGCATTCACTGACGATGTAAACACATGAAATGGCCTAATCTTTCAGTTGGCACAGCAGCACACCCCAGAGTGTCTTTGGGTTTTTTTAAGGCCATTAAAATACGAATAGTTCCTTATCAGACTTTTGAAGAGGAGCATAGAAATGGGATCAGACTGCTGTGTTGTAAACTTGTATTTAAGTCTAATTGTTGTCATTTGTCATTCAAAATGCTCTCATTATTCCCTACTACGGCAGGAAAAAAAACATGTCCCCCCCCAAAAAAAAACAATTTGGTGATATTTCACACAGGGCACACACTTGCCGGTGCTCCGTACTGGATTTCATTTTGTCATAGCTGGTGTGTGCTCACTTATTTCAGACTGAAAAAGCATACTGATGCACAAAGTAGTTGATCTCTGCCAGCTGGTGTAAGGCGAGGTTAATTACTGTCGATTCCTGAGGGAAAAGCGACTTCAAAATGGCATTAAAAATTGATACCTGTGTGCAGCACTAATAATGTACTGACACAAGGTAATTAATCACAATTACGAGCTGATGTGCCTTAAATTATTATTCTTTGCCAGAGGAAAAAGGGTGACAAAACAAATCATGCGATGAATAGGCAAAAATGATTATCTGCCTACAGATTGTACTAATTATATGAATTACAGCAACTCTGCCTCTTTGCAATCCTCATTTGTTTTTGTCTGAGGCAACATCTGCACATTTGCTGGGACAAAAAGGCAAAACCTAAATGAATCTCATCATTTATGATGGCAGGAAATGTTTCAATTGATGTGAAACAATTATTTTGTTCTAATCAAAAACTCTTTAAAGCCAGCACTTCAGAACCCAGCAGCTGTCGGTACAGCTTTACAAAATGGTTAAATCAGTGTCTCAAAATGATCACTTTTAGTGCATGAGTCTTCTTCGCAGTGCCGTGCCAGAGCCAGGTGCTGACGTCTCCTTCGGGGGTTCTGAGTAGTCCGGGTTATCCGAACCCCTACCCACCTATGAGCCGGTGCAACCACACCATCCGTCTGCCAGAGGGCTCCAGAATAATCCTGAACTTCCTGGAACCCTTTGACATAGAAGGACATCCAGAAACCCCCTGTCCTTATGATATGTTGAAGGTCAGTTGTGCGACTCCGAAGTCTGAACACACACAAGCTAATGAATGAGCAATGTATTCCTCCTCATGCTCGTGGAGGTGGTTTTGCCACTGACTTGTCCTGCTTGGGTGATATACCGTATAGCTATTGCGGTTTCATGCATATTTAGCCAGACATCAGTTAGGACTCAATCATGCTTGCTTATTTATTTATTTATTTTAATTCTATCTAATGTCCCGACATGAAAGATTTCAACAGCTGGAAAAGAGTATGGACCCTTCTGTGGCCCAACGCCACCAGATCGGATTCACACGGGAAGTTATGACGTGCACGTCGAGTTCAGGTCCGACTCTAGTGGAAAAAACAAGGGATGGAAGATCAAGTACACCAGTACCGAGGCAGAGACCCTTTCTTTGACTTCAGACTGATGGCACTACAGTTCACGGACTCTGTTTCTAATTGTCCTTATTTTGTGTAAGATCTTGCTATTCTTTGTTACATAGACAATAAAAAGAGATTAAAATAAAACTGTTGTATTATTTAGATCCTCTTTGCTCATTACAATAAATACTGTGTCCAACTTTTAACCTAACAGTGTGCAGTCAGACGAGCATTTTCATTAACTTGGGTTTCCTCAAATTGCTGTGGGTGATTTCAGTCATCCTCTAATCTAGCCAAGGAATTGAAGAAATAAGAAAATCATTTAAGAGGGTCTAGATGTCAGTAAGTCTGGTCCAATAAGCGCCGTATGCTAGTCATTTAACCTTCATACATTATGCAGCTTGTTCTTAAACAATCCCGGCTACGCTCCTCTATCAAAACAATCATTATAGGGTTATTTAGTCCAAAGAAATGACTTATCCACACAACATTTCCTCCAGCCGGTGCCCCTCAGATAGTTCAAAAGTGCATGTCTGAAGGTGTCAGTGAGTGACAGAAAAATACTTGTGCTGATTTATTTTTATTGTTTCTTCTGCTCCAGTGTTTTGATTTCCTTCCTCCTTCTCCCGCAGAATTAGGTCAGCGCAATTTTTCAGTGAACGTGTGACTTTCTTAAACCACAGTTTGTTAGCTTTGATTGAGCTGTTTTTCCCAGCCACATATTTTGTAGTTTGTAGGCAACAACCCCGAGCATGATGTGTAGCTACTGACCCACAGATCACCTCGTCATTTTCAACCCAACAGAAATACGAGGTCCTGTGTGGACATGTGCGCTGTAAACTGTCAGCCCACGCGGGATTAAGGCTTGTTTACAGCATGAAATACCAGACAGCCCTCGGGGCTCCTGTGTGCTTACCGAGCAAACCTGCAGTTCTTACCTGAGCGCCGTTAAGTCATAATCTAATGCGCATGGAAGGTGTAAGACATGACGGAGCAATTGACCGCTCCTGTGCTCTCGCGCGCTCACTCCTAACTGTCCAGCCTAGTTGGAGCTAATTCCACAGGAATTACGCACACCATGAAACCCATTAACCAGCTGTTGAAAAATATCCAGCCGCAGCACGCTGCCAGTAGGCTGTCAGGCTTATAGCTAATATGCCCATCACTATTACACTAGTGCACGAACTCAGTTAAGTTGCTATAGAGAGAACTATAAAGTCTCAATATCAGAGACTGCTGCTTTTTTGTCATTGGTAATACTGTTCCTGACCACGCATACTCCTTCACCTTCACTAATAGGTGTTTAGAGTCTTCAAATTCAATATCACTAAGGAGATCCCTTGGTTTTAAGGCCAAACACTACTGCTGTGTCACTTTGAGGAAATCTCAAAAGTACTGAACTTTTTCCTTTTTTTTTTTCCATTTGGATTGTATTGGATTTTAAATGCTTTCAATATCTGTCACAATAATGTGGGACAACAGCACTATGGAAAGTCTGAAGGCACATTTAATGAAAAAAATAAAATATAAATCCGTCCTCCACCATGTAACGTGTATAAATATGTACCACCATATACAATTTCCTTTAGCTACTTGTGGAAAATTAATATGAAACAGCCTCCTACAACCTGCAGTTTTTCTTGCTGATGAGCTGAGGCACAACTTTTTATTTTTTTGGGCATACATGGACACAATACTGAGTAATTATAAGCTGCTTACAAATGCTGCACTTAAAGGGCATCTAATATGAAAGTACAAGCTGGCAGTGACATTGTAATTTCCCCACAACACGAAAAAGAAGAGGTCTTTCTGTAAATTCAGATCCTTCATTTGTGCTCATTGTTCAGGACACAGATGACAGGCATGAGAAAAGATACATCCCCATGAGTCACATGGACACTGCACACGCTGTCCACACCCTCTTACATCACACTGCCAGCAGACTCATGCATAATAAGCTACAATGTCTCACACACACAGGGGTCATATGAATAAACATGTATCTAACTTTTTATTATTAAAGCAATGAACGTGTCTGTGTAACCAATTCAAACATATCTGGCCAATTTTGGCCCCCCTTTTGTATTTATTCCCGTTTCTGCACTTACCATTATTTATGAGGTATTTCTTCTCCTCTTTCTGATTCCATAAAAAAATCACACAGTGAAATTTCACATTAGGATGCACAGTTTTGACAAATATTTCAAGATTTTTCAGCACACTCATTAAAAAATTCCTTGACTTTTAATGCAGTTTCCAAAAATAGCTAAAAAATATGAAACTGAAGATCTAAAATCTCAAATGCGGTGCATCCCTTCAATCATAGCAATAATTAAGGGGCAGCAGAAGGCAAAATTTAAAAAAAAGAAAAAAGTGTAATGATGACTATAAATGTAACAGGCAGCCTTAAAACAACAGTTCTTCATTTTTGGAGGAAAAAAACACTTTCTTTCTTTTTTTTTTTTAAACTTTCTCACTGTGATAAAGCAAATAAATGTGAGTTAGATGAGAAGACCCATTTTATTTAAATACACAACAGTGAACCTTGGACTTTGGCCTAGAGGCGCAGCAACTTTTCTGTCAACTAGTGAGGTTGCCGGAAGTAAGAGAATCTCCCCAAATACTGAGTTATAGCTTTAAGTTTCGATTTGTTTATCTGTAGTTATTCTCACAGCATGAAACACAAAATAAGAAGCCAGTTAAAAAAAAAAATAGACCCAAGTGGTTAATGTCTTTGATAAACATGACTTGTGTAAATCATCCAGCTTCCTCTTGAGGCAAAAGCATTCAAGTGGTTTTGAAATCTTACAAAGTGTCAACACTTGGGATTCATGTATTCCAGCAGTTTTGTTATTATCAGTAACGCAGGGCAAAAATCCTACTCTGCTGGCCCCGAGGCTGGTAGTGTGAATTCTTATCAGTCTGTGCTCAGGTAGAGTCTCGGCCTAGTTGCCGCCTTGGGCTTGCTTTTCGACGCCCTCCTCCTTCCTCTTCTCGCTGGACTGCTGGCTGCCGCGCAGCTGTGTGTTGCTCCTGATGGATTGCACTGCCTGAATCTGCCGGAGACGTGCGGTCAGCTCAGCTTCGCAGGCCTGCAGCAGCGTGGACGTCCTCGCTCTGTCCCAGCCCAGCACCTGCTCCATAGCTTCCATCCCTCTGGCCACTACCATCTAAAGACACACAGACGGGAGCTCCATATAGTGGATATGGGAACATATGAGGCGATACACTGGCTTGCCCTACTAACATAAGTTTATGAATGCAAATGGAGATGGCTGACAAAGTCTTGTGCTTACACTGTACCTAAAGTAAATGGGATTATATCAGAACTGATGACGCAGGGGTGTGTTTTAAGTGTGTCAGGATGGGCAGTTTCACATGCTTGCTTTGATCATTTTGCAGCAGACTCACTGGGGTGTGTTACGACACAAGCCTTACAGCAGAAGGAGTGACGTGGGAATATGATGACGTAGGACCATTGAAGGGAGTTGCCCCACATTGCTGCGATATGTAAATGCACCTCATTTGCTGGTGCCTGTCTAAATTTGCAGTTTGAACTTCTTGGTAGTTCTCAGAAAGAGTGGATTCTCTGCGACATTTACAATACAACAGATGTAAAAGTACACATTTGGGGTGTTTTTATTTGCTGATGCTTTAAGGCAGACTTAATCAGAGTTGTGTGAATAGGCTACCTGCAGATCCTCAGTGGAAAGCCTGGTCTCTGGCGATGTTTTGCCTTTCAGGACCATCAAAGTCCTGGACATAAATCCAGAAGCAGAATCCACCTCCATTCCATCTGGCACATCCACATCCCCGGCACCTGAGATATTGAAACAGGTTTCGATACATTTCAAAACATTTTAAACATAGTAAATGATTATTTCAGGTGGGGTTATTAAACAACAACAACAGGTCCACCTAGTGACCAAAAGATAGAAGTGCAGCTCTTCCCTGATGAGAAATTAAGAGAATGAACCGATAACAAATTCAGAAAGAAAAATAATACATGTTAACTAATAACATCTGCAGTTGTTTGAACCTCCTTCACTTAGAAATAAAAATACATATTTTAAGATAGTTTATTTATTTTGCTGCCCTTCTGTGTTTGAATGTGTGTTAATGTTAGATTGAAACAGGCATCGAAATAAAAAAGCTGCTTGTATGAATGGGTGAATGAGGCATGTTGTATAAAGCGCTTTGAGTGCTTAGGTTGAGTACAAAAGTGCTACATAAGAACCAGTCCATTTATGTCTCTTGTTCTTAAATATAGAGAAAGTTTATGTATGATTTTCACATTTATTGTTTTCTCAAATTTTCTGATTTGACCACCCCTCCTCGCTGGCTAAAGTTATGTCAGTGATGTCCCCGACTCTCATCTAAAGAACTACATCTGGGGCCATTACCTATCTTGAGGGCTTCATAGTCACGGGACTATATTGATTATTTTGCTGGGTGTATTCATGCATATTGATCACATCTATTGATTACATGTTTGTTACGCAGAGGGAACTGTATAAGCACCCTTTTCAAATTAATGGTTTTTTGTTTGTTAAGCCACATAACACTGACCTATGAATCATTCAGTCATAAAAAGGTACCTCACTCAAGGGATGAATCTTGAGTTACACATGTTGTGTCTACACATAACAGACATCTTAGATGAGCATCAATTTTAAATTGCATCTTTGGACACTTTGTTACCACAGCCTGTCTCAAAAACACTGCATTTCCGTTTATGCTTGCACATTTCAATAAATTGCTGTTCTTTTTTCCATTTTCATAGTGAAATATGAAGAATTGACTTTGACCACCTTTGCTCTTCAACACAACCTGAGCTCTGTTAGGCAGGGATCACTGTCATGCTGAAAAATGAATACAATCAGATCAAGGATTGATTGTGGACTTTAAGAGGACCAGGAAAACCTTGTCCCCTGTTTCAATGCAGGGGGTCAATGTGGACATTGTGGAGGACTATAAATACCTTGGAGTATACATGGACAATAAACTGGACAAAACATTGTTGCACTCTACAGGAAGGGCCAGAGTCATCTCTATTTTCTGAGGCGGCTGAGGTCTTTCAACATCTGTTGGATAATGGTCAGGATTTTCTATGAGTCTGTTATGGCCAGTGCCATCCTCTCTGCTGTTGCATGCTGGGGCAGCAGGTTGAGGGTCACAGATGCTAACAGACTCAATAAAGTGATCCGCAAGGCCATTAATGTTGTGGGGATGGAGCTGGACTCCCTTAGGGTGGTGTCTGAGAGGAGGATGTTGTCTAAGATAAGGACAATGCTGGATAATAATTCCCACCCACTCCCTGACGTGCTGGCTAGCCACAGAAGCATGTTCAGTGAGAAACTGAGATTACCAAAAAGCACCACTGAACGACACAGGAAATCATTCCTGTCCATGGCCATCTCCCACCTCCCTCAACTCCACCGCCTAATACACTGTAAACACTGCAATAGTTACACACAACAGTTAAATGTCAATCATATATACTTCACCTGTGTAATATTCTTGATATTTGTAATTGAATGATTTGTATTTGTCAGTACTATTTCTTACATTTGTAAACTTTGTAACATATTGTATTAGTTAATTAGTTTAGTCCGTTACTGTTACTGTCTTCGAGCAACTGTAACCCACATAATTATTAAAGTACTCTGATTCTTTCCAGACAGTATTACATGGTGGATCAAAATCTAACTTTTGTGTGTTCATAATTCTATAATTTTTGACACGATCCCCAACACCACGGGCTAAAATGCAGCACCAAACCACTACAGAGCCTCCAGTGTGTTTTATAGACACTCGGTTTTGGACCCCTCTCCTGATGCCCTCTGTGGACATTGATGACAATATGAACCAAAAATCTCAAATTCAGATTCACTCCATAGGATCTGCTGCCTGTTGATTTTCAGTCCAGTTCTTGAATAATTTGGAATACCTTGCCCATTTCTCCCCTTTCCCTTCCATAAGAATGGCTTCTTGACTGCCACCCTTCCACTGAGACCATGTCTGATGAGGCTTCTGTGAACAGTAGATGGAACAACTGATGCACCACAGAAGCATCTCTTACACCCTGTGTCAGCTCTCTGACTTGTTCTTCTATTTCTTCATGACATGACTTACATAGACTGTTCATCTGCTGTAGATACTTTGCCACTTTTTTTGTCCGCCAACTGTCCGGTTTACTCAGATGTTTTAAGAACATACTGTACACCATGCTAAGAAAAGCCAAAGCTTTGGCATGTTTTTGGCAGTCACCATGTTGGCACATTTTTACCTTTGGCATTTTCATTGATTCAACTAAAAAAATGGAAACAAATGATGTGTTTTTGCCTCACACTGCTAGTAACAAAGCGCCCAAAGATTCAATTTAACATGGTGTCTGTTATGTGTAGACAAAACGCTGGTTCATCCCTCGAGTTAGGTGCCTTTTAAAGCTTGTCTCATAGGTCAGCTTTAAGTGGCTTAACAAACCTCTCAGAGGAAAACCTTCCCTAAAAAAGGTCAGGTACAGGGACTGAAAATGAGTAAAAAAAACAAAAAGCAGCCAATGCACAAAGAAAAATGTCAAAAAAGCTTCAGAAAAGCTGAAGCTCAAGGCTTCAGCGTTGGAAAAACTGTTGCTCAAGGCAACCTAGAAGAATTATAAAAAAAATCAGGCTCATTGGAAGCAAAATATAAAGAAATAAAAGGTGGCTCCAGACTTTTGCACAGTACTGCAGTTCACAGAGTTTCTGTATCCCAGTTTGAATAATGACACAGAAACAGCTTTCTATGCAAGACTTAACTTGTTACAGAGTTTATATTGTGTATCCGTGTCACACTACAATAATCAGGAAATCTGATTTTCATATCTTTATCTCAACAAACTATTTCCACACGGTAAACATGGCAACCACCTCAAAATGACACAGCCGTACCTCCCTGAGAAGGCGGACTTGTTTCTTCCTGTTGTCTGTTCTCCAGCTCCACAGTTTTCAGGTAAAGCTGGAGCAATTCCTTGGATTGCCGCTCCTGCTCTCTTCGATCCAAAACCCTCTGCAGCGTCTCCTGGAGCTCTTGGGCCTTTTTCTCTTGGAAGCCCAAAGCAGAGGCTAGTTCAGGGCACGGGGCATCCACTAAGGTCTGAAAAAGCAAAGCAAAACAATAAAATACAATTTGCGGCTCCTATTTTTAGATTGATTAACACACTTATCGCTTTCTTATACTTGACATATAATGTTGGTACCTGTAGGTCCGCCTCAGACATGAGAATAATGGTAGTCAGGTCCTGCTTCAGCTGCTGAGCCAGTTCATACCAAGGTGCTACAGTACTGGAGCTGTCCACAGTATCAGTCTCCAGCATCACAGAATCCCTAGCCATCCAAGCTGTGCCACCATCAACTAAAAAGTAAATATCAAATTAACACAAGGTGGTGCATTCCCGGGATATTAATGATTGATGATAAAAAGGATGCAGAAAAATGTCAGATAAAAGTAAACCTGCTTACTCCTGCAAGGTGGAGACCACCTCTCTTTGTCATTCAATAGCATGAATTTTGTGTTTGAGGGTAAACACAAAAAGTAAGCCTGGTCTTCTACTACTGTCCCATCATTCTCTAGGACCACTGTGACTGAGTCACTGGAGTTGAACCCAAGACACTGTTGACCTGTTAAAAGAACAGAGAAACTACAAATATTATAGAGTGTCCCAGATTATTTTTATACTTCAAAGTGTTTAGCCATATGGTTGTATCCATCCATCCGATTCAATATCCCAGCTGACTGTTGTGGAAAGAGGTGGCCGCAAGTCCAGTTTAGCATAACAAATTAACCTCACATCCGTGTCTGTGGACTGTGGGGGGGAACCAGCAAATCCAACACAGATCCTTCTCTCTGTGAGGCGACAGTGCCGCCCATATTTCAGAGGAAAACAATCAGTATTAGTGTATCCCATAAGCCAAATATTCAAAGCAGTAATACCTCAGACACCACCTGTTCATCAGGTGATTCAGCATACTTCCACATGTCAAACAAGTCAGTCCATTTAAAGAGTCACCAGCCCTTTCATCAGAGCTGCTCCTATTTGCAATACAAAACATGTCTTACTTCCACTCGCTTTTAAAATTGTACAGCTATAAATCAGCACCTCTAGTTTAATAGTGCCCCAGCTCAATATTTCATATACAAGTATTTATTTATGTATATTGAATAGGAATAAAGGCAATTTATAACTTTAAGCTAGCATCAAAACCAAGAGGGGGGTTTTCAGATAGCATCCTAGTTTTGTCACTGGCAGTTACAGGAGACTTTATCAGAATCAGAAATACACTTCTAGTATCTTCATGTAGGTGGCTTCAAAATCAAGGACCCAGCCTGACCTCCTCCAAACTCTGCTGACACATAACAATCAAAGACGTAGAAACACTTTTATTAAAAACCTTTTTGTTTTATTAAAAAGAGAAAAATGCAACAAAAAAAAACAAAAACTCTGGGGGTAACGCCTGGTGACTAGTCTTCTAGGAATGAGCAGGAAGAGCAATGACTTTTCATGTTTAGCTTCTGCAGGTTTAAACACGATGGATAAAAATGGTGATGCTGCTTCTGCTGCCACACACGACTAGATAAGTAAGCTTGTCGACAGCAATAGCAATAATCACCTCAGTTGTAATGTTAGTGCCTCCCAACACTCTCAAAAATCACTGAACATATGAAGTTCTTTCACTTTCGCAATATGAGACCCCGCTTTTAGCGCTCAGCACCAGTGCAAACTAAACATTTAAATACTGCACCCACAACGTTTGACTGCGTGAGACGGTACTTCACGTAACTGTCACACACCCGTTCAACATTAATGAATACATAGCTTTTATTAAAAAGAAGCTCTAGCGTGATAAAGTTCAGGAATGTAAAGTCATGACAACTTACCTTTTTTCTTAAGCTCATCTATGGAAAGAGCTACTAGCCCATGCGTTTGTTGTCGTGTGAAATTGCACACCTTACACGGTTTATCCGTCATTGTAGTCTGCGTTTAGAGAAGCAGATTTTGCGCTTTCTTATACCTTAATACTGACAGTTATCGTCAGCAGCTATCAACTGCTACCACTATCCCCGAATACGGAACTGCCGCCGTGCCGCTATGGCATCTGGGATATGTAGTTTAGCACATACATAGAAAGAACTGCCTTTGTGTTTACAGTTTGAATATAACGCTATAACCTCTATAGCGTTAATTTGAGTGTATTTTAAAAACGTCTTTTATTAACTATTTTCAAGCTCTAGACATAAGAAATATGAGAATAATAACATGTCCTTCCGAGCTCCTGTTAAAAAGCTCAAAGGTGGACTACCGCAAATGACCGCTAGATGGCGACCAAAAAAAGTCTGGCCTCACAGTGGAGTTCAGTTCTTTCTTTTTTGTTTTTCTTTCTTAAATGCATTTGGTTGGTTAATTGCGTGGTGAGAATAAATAGCTAGGGAGTAGGTGGAAGAGAGCCTGGAGAGGTGGAGGTATGGTCTGGAGAGAAGGGGAATAAAAGTCAGTAGAATCAAAGAATGCGTATTTGTGTAACAGTGAAACCAGGAGAACAGATACTGAAAAGTGGGTGGGTTTAAATAGTTTAAATACCTAGGTTCAGCCATCCAAAGCAGACAGTACAGGCCAAGTGGAGCGGGTGGAGATGATTATCAGGGGTGATTTGTGACAGATGGATAGCAACAGTGGTGAAAGTAATGGTTTATAAGATGGTACTGAGACCTGTATGGTTTGGAGACTGTGGCACTGACACACACACACACACACACACACACACACACACACACACACACACACACACACACACACAAAGGAGGCTGAGCTGAAGGTAGCAAAATGTTGATGAAGATGAAGATGTTAAAATTTTCATTACGATTGACCAGAAATTAAAAATCAGAAACTAGAAGTTAGAAATGAGTAGATCATAGGGACAGCTCAAGTTGAGCAGTTTGAAGACAAAGTTAGAGAGGCAAGGCTGAGATGGTTTGGACATGTGCAGAGGAGGAGAAGTAGATATACTGGACAAAGGATGCTGAATATGGAGCTGCCAGGCAAGAGGAAAAGAAAAGAATCAGAGAGGAGGTTCTTGGATGTAGTGAAAGAGGACATGCAGAGGGTTGTGTGACAGAAGTGATGCTAAGGATGGGATGAAATGGAGGCAGATGATCCGCTGTGGCAACCCCTAAAGAGAGTAGTCGAGAGAGAAAAGAAGACTGCTTTATATGGTTCAAAAATGCACCACTTACATCACCTGAAACAATCATTTTAATACTGTAAGTCTAGCATTCCAGCCTAGCAGTCCAACCTTTAGGGGGTTGCTGTAGCAAATGACTTTATAGTTTTATTTATTTATTTTTTATTATTTATGAACTACTGTAAATAAATAGTATCTTCTTGCTGTGAATTCATTAAGTATTATGGTTTCTGAAGGGGCCCTGGGCAAAGACATATTAAGCTATTATCTGGTGGCTGAATGCAAATCCGTTTCAACAAGTAGGGACTTACCACACCTCGTGACTAAGCTGTTGGCTTTGTTGTATAGATTTTTTTCTTGTTCTTTAGGCACAAGGGCGTGTTCAGCTGAGGAAATGATGAAGCTGACATTAAGTCTAAAAGTAGAACAGGCTCTAATATGACAAAAACAAAACAAACAGACAAATAAAAACAATTTACAAAAGAGAAGTTTTCTTGGCAATGAAAGAAAGACAGTCATCAACATTGACCATGGAGAAGTCTCAGTATAAGATCTACTGAAGGTGTGTGAGCATGAGAATGTGCTATGGGGAAGCTAAAACCTAACTTGGTGTGCTTTTAAATTGTAGCGTTTTAATAACAGACAGTAAGAATAGTGAGTGATACTTTGGAGTTAGACTTATCCTGCAGTGTCCCTTACTCACCTGCAGGAGGCAGTAGTGCATCCTAAAGCATGTTGCGTGGTAGAAATATACCAGAATAAGAAGTGTGGCAGAAGGAACAGAAGAAGAAGATGGCATCCAACGACCAAGCTGAGGCAATAACACAGGTCTCTATATGCATTAAAAGCGGTTTCTTTTTAATGTCCATTTGCGGTAGTGAACTGTTTTAGATATTTCGGGGCCTTAGATGTCTTAACGTTGGCATCACGTGCCTAGAAATGCTCATCAAGTTAGAGATTAGCATGCCTGCTAGTTAGCATGCTAGCTAGGTTTCGAGGCAAAAGTTGTCACTGAGACATGAGTGTGTTTACAAGTGGGCAGGAAGGGGCGTCATTTAGAGTTGCCATATTGTGTCGAAAATAATATGGCATAGTTACTATATTTGCCATTGTCATCAAACGGTACAGCTGTACAATTGCATCTGAGCGTGTAGCCTCGTCTTACTGTGTGCAGATAACTGTAGGTGCAACTCAAAGGTCAGTGTAGGCAAATAAACCTGATGGTCTCTGTTGGGTTGCAGTCACAGTGTTATCTTTGAACTCATCAGCCCCCCAAAACAAATGTCATCGAACGTTTTTATTCATGTATGTCACCAGTGACACCTTTACTTTTTGCATATACGTTTATATATGCTGTAGAGAAATGCAAAATATTTTTATGTACATATGTGAGAGATGCTTAGTTACACCTTAAACACATTTTTATTGTTTTTAAAATTCTCTAAACAGTAACTGTAGCTCAGGAGGTAGAGAGGGTCATCTACTAATTGTAGGCATACAGACTGTTGCTCAATTGTGCTTGCCCAAGTGTCCTTAAGCAATTTCCTAACCCAAGTTGCTTTCTAATGTGTTCATCAGAATGTGTGTGAATGTTCCATAGAAAGTGCTAAGGCCTAGAAAAAAAAGTGTTTGTATGAATGGGCAAATGAAGTGCTTTGAGTGCTCACATAGAAAATGGTAAATGGCCTGTATTTGTATAGCGCTTTACTTAGTCCCTAAGGACCCCAAAGTGCTTTACACTACATTCAGTCATCCAGCCATTCACAAACACATTCACATACTGGTGATGGCAAGCTACAAAGCACTAAATAAGAACCAGTCCATTTATGTCATTAAGGTTTTCTTACCCAATCTTGTGGAAATAAAAAATAGCCTTTTTTAATTTATTTATTTTCCTGCCGATAGAACAAAATCTGTCCACATTCTACTACAAGCACTGCTCCATAAACATCACAGTGAAATGGATACCCTTCAGTTTCCACAATCAATTTATTTGTGTTGTGAATTTTCCCTTGTTCACAATTTCTACAGTTTCCCATCTGTTACTGTACATAGGGAACTGTTTATGGAGTACAGCATGAAGCTAAACTCTTCACCATGATGAGAACAGGTTAAAAAACTTCTGAGTTATGACAGTAGTTAACTTTTGACAAAAGCTAACAGGAAGTTAGGTAGGTAGGTAGTTTGATGCTTGCAGCTGTTTCTAGAACTCTTTCTTCTCTGTTTATTACATACCTGCAGAATCATACAGCAGCACAATTCATCCAAAAGCTTTTCAAATGCACGAGAGTTGCTCACATTTATGTACCTGACACCACAAAAGTAACTTCAGTCACAGTAAATTATCCCCAAAATTCAGGCAGTTTTGATCAGGATCTAGCAGCAGATAACACTGTGTTCTGTACTTCACACAGGCTCTGACAGGGTTCAGTCTCTAGCTAATGGGGATCCTAATAAACTGAGCAATTTTTAAGTGTAAGAGTTGCCTGATCAGTTGGCAGAAATGTGCCAAGCGTGAAAGAGTGCTCAAGCACTTTGTATAAATGTTGTTGATATTCCTGAATGAAGCCTCGAGGCCTAGTATTGTAAAAGTGTCCCATACCTGAATAACCGAATACTGTCACTTCAACAGATAAAGCCAGCAATGTTACATACCCTGTGCTTGTAAAGGGCAACCATAGTTACCAAGCTTCAAAGCGACATTACTTCTGTTTTCCACTAGATGGCACTCTAATACAAATGTTTGTTTATGTTCTCAGCCTGGCCTTCTGCCTGGAAAAGATGGAGCACGTAGCCCCAGAGAAGAACTGGTAAGAATTTATTCCTTAATCTGAATTACATGAATTATTGGTAAGGAAACATTGACTGTAACCACAAGAACATTAAATGAAGCTAATGTAAGTGAGAGCTGGAAAGAAATAGCATCTTGGATCAAACGATGCAAATATTAAATTACATTTCCTGTAAAGAAAACAAAAAGCAATGAATAAGGTATCATAATGGCTGGAAATAATATTTCAGATATTCTCACATGGCACACGCTGTGATTCTTAATACTAGTGCTCAGAAGTGTGGATTTTTCAAAAACTCAAGTATTCGTGGGATTTTGAAAGAATGAAAATCTTCTAATTTCTTGGCTTGATCTGGTGATGCATAGTTGAGGAAGATTATGATGGTTTTTCTCTCCCCCCCACCTTAAGATCTGATAATTTAAAGACTTTTATTTGGCTGTATTACACATTCCCCAGGGAGATCCAGTATTAAAGGCTTCCAATTAGCAGACAGTCACTTTATACATCACAATGATGTCCCCAAGCTGTAATGAGAGTATACTTTATGTTCTTGGTCTTTAGAGAGGAAAATGGTCTATTTTAACAGCAGCAATGGGTTCCACAGTTTCTTTAATCATGCATAGCATAAAACTTTGACTGCACATCTTTGTTGTTCTTTGTTTATCCTTTTAGTCTGTGTCAGAAATGGGTCAGGAAAGTTGCTAATTTGGAGTTTCTTCACCATGTAGACTCCTATGCAAACACAAAGGGCACTTGAAGGTGTTGTTCCGTCAAAAAGGTGTTATAAGGTGGTGTTTAACAAGAATAAATGTCAGTTTTTCTCTTCAGTAATGTGCAGAGTGTTTATAAGGCATGCTTGGCCCAAGCGATGACTATAACCAGGAATGTTTGGTAATTGCTAAGTGGGATGGAATCCATCCCAGGTACACTCACTGTCCTTGTATAGGCACAGCATGCAGGTTATAGACGTGCTGTATTGTTCAGCCTACATGTCTCAATGTCATTCACCACCATTCACTCTTCATCTTCCCCCCATCATCCCTTCATGCCAAGGCTAATTTAATCCTGGGGTTATTGATTGTGGGAGCATTCTCCCAGGCTTTCTTTCAATTTACTTCA